TGTGTTAGCCCTGCGATGGATTGGCGACCTGTCCAGGGTGTACCCCGCCTTCGCCCGATTGCCGACCGGGATTGGCTCTGGCCTGTGACCCCGTTCAGGGACTAAGCAGTAGAAAATGAATAATAATGCAAAAGAAATTTTCCAATTAATTGCAATTATTTTTATCTGAAAAATCCAATACTGATTCTTCAAATGTCAAGAATCTAAACTCTAACACTGATTGTAGGGCTGCACAATAAATCGTTTTGTGAGAGTAATTTAGATCACATAGGGATCTAAATCACTCTCACAAAATGATTTATCGTGCAGCCCTAAGTAGTGGCTACTTATTCAGTGAGCGGTTTGTATTACATACGATCACCTCTTCAAAATTGTGACAGTTCATCTATAATAATTTTTAAAAAGTTCATAAAGTACTTTGGATGTAATACATATCAATCCCTCCAAATTGTTCCACCATCCTTCATATTTTTCACTAGTTTGCTGCAAACTGACTGGAATATAGCTTCAAATACAGCTTGGATATCCCAAACTGCTCTCTTCCACCTTTGCCATACATTAAGATTCCTCTGCATTTGTGAGGCGCAGATAAAAAGGTAAGCTCATACAACAAGGAGTAAATGTTTGTCATACTGACTCTTTTATTTATAATTTATTCAAGTAAAAGCACAGAGCATAAATTGTGAATAAGGATTAATGATTAATAAAACAAGATGTCATTCTGGGCATGTGGCAAATATTTATTCCTTGTTGGCCTGCCATACATGTTTCACCTGTACAAATTAATGACATATTTATGCTTTAGGTGCTCTGGGAAAGTGCAAACAAACTGTTTTGGATAAGTGGTCTACATGAAGCAGGCACTGAACAGACAGAAGCAGCGCTGGTCGAGTTTTAAGCACGAAAGCAGTTCAGTAACTTATTAATATAAGTGCTACATCATTTTATTCTCTCAGAGCTTTCAAGAAAACACAATAGCCCCCCCCCCCCCTTGCATTCTAAGTGCTGTAGGAAATAAGGCCACAGCATGACATGAATTGTCCCTGGTGGACCTGGATGCTGAGCTTTCTCCCAAATGGAAAAGGGCTAATAGGAATGGACCTCAGCTGCTTTGTCCCAGTAGTTATTCTTAGTCAGACACTCACTGCTGATGTATGATGAGAAGAGAAGACCTGGCAACCCTTGCTTGTATTGTGTGTTGATATTCCAGAGGCAGGTGTGGCCACTAAAAACTAAATCCCACCCTCAAATCATCCTTCCCTACAAGCTGAGGCCTTGAACAATGCCTTCTTTCTTTACAGCACCTGTGTGCTTTAAGTCCCAGTCGGTCAGCACTACTGGACACACAAACACTGAATATCATACAACCATGACAACTGATAATCGTAATAAAATGTGGGCTTCCTTAAAATTATTTGCAGAGGAAAAACCAACTTTTCAGTGGGACTGAACAAATATCATCCATTTGCCCCAAGTGGAATACAGAATTCTGCACCACATCTCGTGGCAATCCATCCAATAATTGTTGAGATATTTCACTCAAAGCCACAAATCAAATTCATGGTGGTGCTTGAGGAAAAGTCAGTGGAAAGCCAAAGTCTTGAGGATTTATCCTCTTGGCAATATAAATGTCTAAACACATACTTCACTGGATAAGTGAAAATTCTGACCCACTTGTGGCACTAGATAACAAGTAGTGGTTCAACAAAGTCAGAGGTGTTCATCCCCTGCAGAACATGAATATTTGAGCAAAATTTCAGAGCAAACCATCCATTAACTACAATATTAACCCTAGAACTCGTCCTGACCTCGTCTCCTCCATCTCCCCACTTGTCATCTCCCAGCCTTCAATTTCATAACATTTATACCCACGTGGGACAGTTCTGAGAGGGTTGATATAAATATATATTTCTTTTAGTGACAGTTATTGAGCAGACATTTGTGGTTCCACCGGAGCCAGTTATTCTCCTGAGGCCTTTCCAGCTGTTCCTTTCAGCTGCCGGGTCATTTGGTTGCTGTACAGGGAGCTATTGTGTCATCTCGGTTCTGCTTGACCGTGGCACTGTCTGTAAATGGATCTGGCTGATGGCAATGATCTGTCTGCGTGTGTGGCTGTGGTGGTTTTGTGTGGCCATTTAGGACCAAGAGTGTGAGAGTAGGGGATCACTGGTCTATATTTACCAACTTAAGAATGAGAGAGCATTGGGTTGTCCACATAGTTGGCACTGAAGGACACTTTGTGTTCAGGGTCACCGCTTAATCAAGAGAGGCATGAAGGGAGCGAGGTACAGTACACAGATAGACAGACAGACACAATAGAGAGAGGTGAGCCATAGACAAGATTTTCAAGGAAAGAGAGACAGGTAGACAGAAAAGGAAGCGGGATATATCTGTCCTACAGATCTTTTGATGCCTAGACGACCTGTATTTTAAAAAGAAGCGTGAGTAGGATTTTCTTTACTCAGCCTTTATCTAGATCTACCACAAATTACAAATATCTTTGAGCTAATTTACAAGTGTGTTAACCATCAGATTTATACATATATAGGTAACATGCACACACTGTGCAGAACATCTGCAAAATGCTGTTAATTATTTGTCTTTGTATTGTCAGAGGCTTCTTCGCTCCTGTTGTCTCTATAGGTATAAAGCAAGCTCCTCCTGTGCTCCCACTATCAATCAGTAGCGCTGTAAATCAGTTTCCTTCTTGATACATTCTCTTGTTTTGCATTTTTTTCAATCAGAAACCCAGAAGCTGAGCTCTAATTTCACACCAGAGACTGAAAACACTGCTTTTCCTCCCATCCCTCCAGGGGCTCAGAATCTTGCCTGCCCATTGCGACTGATCAATTTTAATGTGCCAGAGGTTGACTTTCTATTAACAGTGCTCAAACAAACCTCTCTGCTTGCATAACAGTGAGCCACAAAAAAGGAAATAGATGACTTGCTAGCCTATTAGCTAACTTGCTGCTGCTTTGCACAGTGTAATTGAAGATGATGAGAAGAAATAACACATTACACTTGTTTATGGTGCTAATACAGCTGGTTGATTCTGGGAGAGGGTGAATGAAGCTAACATTTAGGTGTGACCTGATTCTGTTTGTTGGGTGCCTTTTGCACTCACGTCCCCAGAGCAGCCAAGTGATTAATGACGGACAGGGTGTGGGCAGCAGCAGGGCAGACCCCAACTGATAAATTAGTGTCTCAGCAGCCCACAAAGGGGTGATTCATTAAATGGGGGACTAAAAACACACCTTTTCTCCACAGCCACACCCGAAACCCCATTTGACTCCATTGATGCATTTCACAACCTTCTGTCTTCATCCATTTCCCGTCTGTAAAAAAAAATGCCCCCCGCCCACCCCAAAAAAAAAAAAAAAAAAAAAGACAAAAGATACTCAAGAAGATCACTGGAAGACTAATTAACTAATGAAAATATTCATTAAGCCATTTAGTTAAAGTTCAGCACTTCCTGAAACATTTCCAAAAAGAGTGTAAAGATTGCATTCTGTTTTAAGCCGTTACTGGAGAATGATTTTACTATTCTGCACTTAAGGACATGGAACAATCACCATGTAGCCACTTAAACTGAGAATAGAACTAGAAATGTAACTGTAAGGTCTCTTCTTAACACAAAGCACAATATAAAGTAGCCTCTTGCAAAGGCTGAGATGCAAAGTGGTCATTAATTTGGCAACTCATTTGCACTCAGTATCAAACACGCAGCTTTGAGCTGCTCCACATACGACTGCCTGTTGACTTCTGATAAAGATAATGTAGTTATGCTCTCGGCCAAGGCTACGGCGCCTTGACTGCCTCCTACACATCACTGCATCTTCAGCTCCCCCTCCCTCCACAGGTGCCGGTTGGGGGGGTTACCATGGAAACCAGGACAGTGATGCAGCGAGAGCAGGAGGAGCAGTCGTCCCAGATGTCTCAAAGCATCCAACTGTCCTCTCAGAAGAAGAAGACGACCTTCACTTCCAGGTGCAAATACATTACCAGAACATTATTATTTTATCTGAGAATGCATCATAAAACATTTGTGGCATTATTCTGTATTTATCTTATTGTCAACACAACCTATGACAGGACCAAACCCTTTCAAACAAGACTATACATTCATGACCTATTTGTAAAGAGTTACATATCCTTCATGAACACATGGGCTGTGTGGTTGGGATGCTAAAATATTATTGCTTTTTTTTTTTAAAGGCACCTTTCAAGTCCTTTAATGAATTTCCAGCAAAGTGAAAAAAGAAAACTAATGCGCATTTCTATCACTGTTCTGCAAAATATTAGTGGGGCACATGGAGATAATTAGTGGCACACATCAGGTACCATTAAACCACTGAGGAAGAAGAGGACACAGTGGGATGATGTAGCTAAAAGCGCCAGTCAAATCTCAAATAAATAAAAATGTAGAAAATATTGTATTTCTGTTTTTGTCTTTTTCCATCACACTTTAACTCAATTTGTTTTTATTGACACGGCAGCTTTTCCACCACATCCGAGTGCAGTATTTCAACTTTTTCAATGGAGACGCACCGTGTTATTGTTGCTGCTGCAGAGACCTGACTTAGTTAGTTTTAACATAAGCTTTGGGTAAAAGAACAGTAATGGTCCAGAAATCCACTAAACTATGAATATATCTGAGTGTCGTTGTACTCCTGCTCATGCTCACTCACATGCAGCAGGCCTGTGCAGTTGCACTGTGGCAGGAGAAAAAGAAAAAAAAAACACACCAGTCTTCCCAGATGATTTTGAGACCCAAGGTAAAAGGTATCATCTCGGCAAGCTCTAATAGTCTCAAGTCAAATGTGCCTTCATTTTCACCAGCCCCCCTCTGCAATGAGTTATTAAATTACACTAACCTGTGGGTCTGCAAACTCTATTACAGAATAAAGAGAACTGGGCCCATTTCCTTAGGGATGATGAAAATAAGCAATTATTCCATCAAGCTTGGTTCAGCCAAACTTAGAGGTCATGTCCCTCCTTGTTAAAAAAGAAGCAAGACAGAGAGAAAGCAGGTGCATTGTGAAATTTATACTTAGAACATCCTCAGCTGGCGCACACTTAAATTTATCTTCAGTTTAGACTTAACAAAGTGGCCTCTGGGTAGGTTTAGCAAACAAAAGTAATAAAGAATAAAAGAGTTTCATTTTCGTGCTTGTACAACAGCTCATAACTATGGGATTAATCAACAATGTTTTGTTATTTGTGTAATAGACATAGTACAAATTGTTGACACGCTCAGAGAAGTCTTTATTATTTCCTCTTTACACAAAGTTAATATTTTGAGGAACCCTGTTGTGTATAAACACAAACACACAACCTCCATTGGGTGCACATGTGTGTGCATGTTCCTGTTCATGTGTGTGCCTCGAGTATTTGTGTCCCTGTGCATACCTGTGGGGTGTACATGAGAACACTGCCCAGCTGCAGGATCCGCACTACATTATTCAACGGCCTGAGCCTCTCAGCATACACTCACAGGGAACCAAAACAAAAGCAAAGAGAAAATTAAGACGGTAAAAGCAGAAGTTGTCCTCTCACCACTGTTAAATGGGGAAATTTCCCAGCTTACAAACAAAGGAAAAGAGAAGTAACGTCAATTTGCATTGCAATTTAAAAGATGGCCTATTCAAAGTAATGCCAGAGGTTAAATGTTACAGCAGCGGCAGCGGCCGTTGCGGGGGTTTGACACAGCTGGGTAAATAGACTGTTCTGCCACACAAACAGATTTTTATTTTTGCACTTATTCTTTGCAGCTGAGCAGTGTTGTACTGTAATGTAGTGTAATTTAAAGTCTGGCAAAACACAAGCATGTAGATTAATAACACATCTAAACCAAGGAAAGCTTTCAAACTTCAAATATCCTGCCAGTGAGGTTGTAATTACTCATTGTGCATCAGCCATCTGTGAATAAAACTTAATGCGCCTCCTGTTACAAAAATGCCTTTCAACTTCACTGCCTCAAATGACCTCGCCATAAACAACAAATGCCCTTCTGCTGTGTATGCAAGTGAAAATAGAAAAAAGGTCAGCTCTGCTTATTGTTGGTGCTTTAAATAGAGAGCTCATGCTTCAGTGTAGGCTTACACATGTCCCTATTGTCTGTGTGCATACAAGTCTTTCAGTATTTGTGTTGACAAACTATCATTGTGAGGACACCTGTACTTGTGAATTTGAAGACATTCTGCGTCCTCACAGCTTCATGGGTTTGAAGGTTAAGACTTGGTTTGAAAGATAAGGTTAGAATTAGGTTTCGTTTATGCATTTATGACTGTTAAGGTTAGGGTGAGGAGCTAGGGAAAGCTTTACATCAGTGGGTGTCATCACATCTTGAAATACCAACATGTGTGTGTGTCTGCATATGCACCCATAATGAAGCGACTTAATCGTCTCCAGTCCTCAGCTGGAACACAAACTGCTCTACCACAAGTTGGCACAGACACATTGTGGATTCAAAACTGAACAGTGCAGATGACTGCATGCTGTGATGCTGCAACAATTAACATTGCCATTGTACCATGAACAACATGATGAATTTGATCTAAAAGCACTTCACCACACTGTCATCATTTGCCTGTGCTCACAAACCTGTTCCTCCTGATTATGTGAGCCCCCCCCAAAACATTATTATGCGTGCTTGCATGTTGGTGTCTGAAAGGGGAACAGTGCCAGTTGATGAGCATAACATGTCATGCTCTTGAGAGAAAACAGGTCATTTGATACGCTACTGCGATACCTGGATTAGCACAACAAACATGGGAGGTGACTAATAGATTTAACAGATAACACTGGGCTCCAGTTCACTGCACCATGCACTCCTCACATAAAACAAAGTGAAGAAACTTCATGCACAGCAGCTGTCACACAGACAGTTCAAGGGTGACAGTTGAAATCATCAACACCTATCATAAAAGTACAGCACTTTTCTTATTGGAATTGAATCGGAAAATCCCACCGTAATATTTTAAACATGGGAGTGTGTGTTTATACTGAGCAGAGACTAATATGCTGTGCCAAACAATGTGGCTTACCCCTGAGCTGTGCAGATTGACAAAGTATTAGTGTGACAATATTGACATCATATTTCAAAGAGCGTCTGCCTTTCACAGACTCTCGCTTCTTTGCGGTTTTGTTTGATTTTTGTTTGTTGTTGTTGACCGTGCTTGTTGTCGCAAAAGGAGAGAAAACAGAATCTATCCATTAAAGCTGTCTTGTGTCCGCATAAGATAAGAGTTGCTAGTTTAAAACGGAGTTCCTGGCATGTTGGAATAAATGAAACCTCATGTATATTATGGCTGCCTACTGTACTGGAGCTCTCTCTGATGTATGGCCTCCTCTGCTGTTCACAGAGAGAACAGCGTCACTGCTGTTTTCTAGTGACCGAGGGAAACAATGGCCTGATGAAAGTGAGATTACATAATTAGCCATAAACAAAATGAATACGCATGCTACACTCAACAGAATAACTAACTGTAGGATAATACTTCACCTGTGTCATTTGATGACATGCAAGATGTCTTGTCTTAATAAGGCTTTGTTTTATTCCCCACCCAACGCTGCCTGGACACCACAGTGATGAAGAAGCATCCTACTCTGATTTCTATCCCATCATCCCTGCTGACCTGATGTCTGTCAAAGAGATCCTGAACATGGACAACTTCCCCCGCCACAGGACATGGTAAGACATAGGATCTAGCCAAATACTATATATGGCAGATGTTTTTGTTAATCGCCAACCAGACTGAGGAGTGGATGATATGGGTCAAATGGTGTACTGGATATGAAAATTATTTCAAAATATCAATATAAATGTTGACATTATAAAGACATTTTCTTGAAAACCAATAGAGAAGTTATTAATAGAAAACACCAGACAGGAATTTGTATTTTTCAAATCACACTGATAAAGATTTAATATCCAATATTGCTGATATGGCATAATATTCCTTGACATTGTGAAGGGATAGCTACTAACTACTATCAACAATAACACCCGTTCTTTCTTTAATATGTTGGACGATAGATAAATATTTAAGCAGAGGACTTACTGACTTCGCATAGGTTAAGCCAGTCCACCGTGTTTGCTTACGACAGCATTTTTCTTTCAAACTTTGATACCCGACACATGTTACAACAGTGATGCTAATTAATCAGAAGTTGGTAATTGTCTTTTTTCCCCTGTGGTGACATCTGTAGAAAGGCCAAAGTGTGTAAACAAGAGAACGTGAAGGATAGGTTCGATAAGAACACTATTAACCACAAAGCTTCAGGGATCTGGGTATTCACCAACTTGGAGCCAAATCCAAAACCCCAGTTATCAGAGCCGATCCCTAAGCAAGCCTCCTCATTTCTCCAGAGGACGTCCTTCCTTGATGATCTGTACTTTTCATGAAATTCTGCCTGGCCATCAGAAATTACCACCACATCCTCACTCATGACTTTTTTTTTTGAGAAATGGTTTGAGAGTCATTTATGCCGCCCAAGCCAGACAACACATAAGCACCTACGCCAACAAAGAGGCTCAGCAGAAAGTAGAGCCCTTTCCTCACTGTCATCCATCAGATCTGTACGTGAAAGGCCAGCTGGTAACTTGTCTCATCATTTGCTGTCTCGCAGATGTCATGAAACCAATAAGCCATAATCATTTAGAGCCTTTCATTTGTATTGTGCTGTACAAAAAAGAGGAAGGAGCCTTGCATCTTACCAGAAGAAAGAAGAGCCAAAGTATTAGCGAATTAATCAGTCAGTCAACAGAAACCTATTTTGATTTTCTTCAAGCAAAAATGTCACATTTTCTGGGTGTAGTGTTTTTATGTGGACATTTTCTTCCATACAGTAAATAGTACAGTGGATTTTGGATATTTTTCACAACTTTACTTTTATAAATAATGGATGAAATAAATAAATAATAAGTAGGATAACTGATTATGAAAATAATCATTAGTTGCAACTCTAAAAATGGTTTGATAATCCAGGAAACACAATAAAAGTACTGTTATTACCCACACAAGTACTGAAAAATTTACCAGACATTAGAAAAAAATTTGAACGGTGACTAATTCAGCTGGTGACTGGACTTAATTTGCTGCCAGTACAGAAAGTCTAACTTCTTAGTGAATCTGAGACGATTTTGTAGAGGACATGAACAAGCCATCTTTTACTTTCTTATGGTCTTGTTGCCAGGAAGGGATTACTGCACAGCTGTCATGGAGAAGATGTCAGACATCTAAAAATAAGACCCAGAACATGGAGGTCTGGGTCACAGAGAACAGGAAGCCTCTTTTGACATAATTTGCTTTACCAAAATCCCTCATGCACTGTAGGGGCACCTTGTGCTGTCTGGGTCTTGTAGTATCTGTGTTGGGATTCAGTAACAATTTCACATTTGGAGGCTTAGCAGCAGCCTCCTTCCTGTTCTCCCATCCATCCAGAACTTGATTAGACTCTTGTTGTGTCAAAAAAGATTTGACACTTCTAGCTTAAGCAGACTTCTTCATCACTGTTAAATGTCACATATTTCATTCTTCAAGCCATGAAAGGAAGCTCTGCCTGCCAACAGTAAACTGACGGACAGACAAGGGGTCACAATGAGTACTGAAGGAGAAGATGAGTAATACTAGAAGACAGAGTTGCCAAGGAGAGAGGGTGAAAAGGGAGGAAGTCAGAGAGGGTGAAATCACACCCTCTTGAAAGATAAAACACATTTGACAGTAATGAGTTTCAGCTGCAGCGATGTGTCCCTGCCAACTTGGCATCTCATTAGGTACCCTCTCCCATGCCACCATCAACGAGTGTGTATCTCATCCACTAACATGCTTGGCTCTAATCCATTGATCCTCCGATTTTTTCCTCCTGTTGAAGCCCTCTACCTCAAGACTAAACAAGTTTGACTCCTGAAGCAAGTTCTCGAACAAAATCAATTTTTCACAAGTCTTATCTCCCTCAGAATTGCTGAGATGAATATGGTATGAATGGATATTTTAGGCTGCAAATCTAGTAATGCAGAAGATGACCGACTCCTCCCATGTTAAGAGAGGGAAAGGCGGAAGGATGAGATGAAAGCCCTTGAAGCCAGGCACAATATATCTGGAGGAGCTGAGCACTGACAGACGGGGAAGCATGACATTTGTTCCGATTTGTGTGGAAATTAATGCACAAGATATTTATGCATTGGCATGTGTGGCTCTAATTGCACATTACTATGTGATTCACACAATGGTTTCTCCATCGTCTCCTCCTTGTTGTAAGGGGCGATGTAAATTATGCAGCTGACTCATGCATGCTGTGTTTGCTGTTCTTCACACCAAAAAGCAATATTAAAATTTCCATTTGGAAGAATAACTAAGCCATAAACCCTCTGATACCCTCTGACTTCATGTGTTGTGGTGGCTCATTCCCTCAAGAACTTCTCAAAAATCTCTGCGCCCACAAAGATTAAAAACACTGACATGCACACACCTCACTAAACAAGCCTGTGGCAGAAAGTCAAAACCACGCTTTCTGGGTGACTCAGAGTGGGAGTGCGTTGGTGTACACTTTTTTTTTGCATATGTATCTAAGTATGCTCATATGAATTTGCATATTTATTCATGCTGTATGGGCATTTCATTGAAGTATCACAAGAATTTGTAGGACCATTCATGCTCTAGTGGCATTCAGAACTCACTGAAATGCTTGTGCATATTTAAGACGCTGTTTCTCTGTAGTGGCAATATGAGTGTGTGTGTGTGTGTGTGATGTAAGTGTTCAAATAATTGAGCCATGGGGACTGTCAATCAAAAGACAGCTCAGGATACACCCCCCTCTGATGGTGAGAAAGGGGGGTATTAAAACGCTTCATTTAAAAGCCAGGGCAAATTTAGGATTGTGCACGTTGTATATACTCCCATGCATATCAAGCAGAACTGCATATGAGAATTTACAATGTACAGTAAGATAATATATTCTCAGCTACCATACAAATGTGTATACATTATAGACTACAGAGGGCATCGTTGATGTCTGGTTTTGTTTAACAGCCTTTACAATGAGCTCTGTGGACAGGTTCAGAAGCCGTAGAGCTGGTATGAATTCACTGTACAGTGTAACCACACTCTGTAGTAAAGGTGGAAATGAAAAACAAGTCTTAAACCTCAGACCCCAGTTACAATACATGCCCTACTTACTATGGCACCTTGCTGCCCAGAAACACAAAGATAAAATTTGTTTCTTCTGGCTGAATCACAACTGCCTGCTATCTCCATGACAACCAACTTGATGAAAGGGAATTCAAGGATGTCACAACGCCGGCGATACAGTGTCGCTTTGAACTGTCCACACCTGAAAGGGTCCTGGAGAGGCGCACATCACCGTGAGAGAGCTGTCAGAGTACCAGCACCTCATCTTCTCACAGTGACGTGAATCAGCAGAGGCACTGAGGCTTGAGATTCCACTCATAAAGGCCAACATCTCAAAGCCTTTAAGTGTGTGAGAGAATGGTGCTCATGTGAAATGACATGGAGGTATAAAAGGAGCAGCACAACACCAGCCTCACCATTGAGCCTTTTAAAACGATCAACTGGCAAATATCATAAAACTAGAATTTGTCGGTAAATGGACTGGGACCTGCTGCTCTGTATACACACAAAAAATAAAGTAAAATTTCTGTTTTTCTTTCAGAGGTCAGCCCATTGTTAGAAATTATGTTCAAACCTGAACTGCTGTCTCTACTCTTGTTACCTCCTCTGACGTTGGTCTGGATTGTTTCCACAACCTAATCAAAGTTTTCAAATTCAATTCAATTTATTTGTATAGCACCAAATCACAACAAAGGTCGTCTCAGGACACTTTACAAAGTAAGGTCTAGACCTTACTGTTATTAAAGAGGAAACACCCAAAAAATCCCCCTTGAGCAAGCACTTGGTGACAGTGGGGCCGAAAAACTCCCTAGTTTGAACAATCCAGCAAAGGTGCCGCCTTGACCAATCAATTGCATGAGACAGCTCGAATGTGAACACCCACAAGAAGAAGACTTGTGTTTACCTTCTTAGCATGAGCATTCACTGCTCTTCACTCAAATTTGGGCCATGTGCTTTGATTAGCTAAGGATGTTATACTGTGTTTTTTTGAGGAAAGGATGTCTCTACACTGGTTGTAGGAATTGGAGCTAGCGTAGAGTACAGTAGGCTATATTAGCAGCATGGCTAACCAAAACACAACAGAAACTTATGGGCTGGGAAGGTGAACGAAGTCACTCACATCAACTCATCACAATGTGGCCATATCATACACGCCTACAACACTTACCCTGCACCCCAACCCCTGCAGCCCCTTGTGTTAAAACAAAGGCGGGAGTTGTGTTTTACCACACGCAGTCTGAACATCTATTTAATGCTTTGCTGTCAAGTTGTACGTCTATAAGAATCTGTTATTCTAAGTATAATGATTCTACACGAATACAAATGCTTTGTTCCACCAGGGAAATCCTCAAGGAAACTCTGGCTGCTGATGAAGAAGAGTTTCACAGAGACAAGTGGACATTGTTTGGAAACGAGGCTGAGAAACTGGAGCTAGATGTGATCAGGAACCAGCATGTGTTACGCACACGCATTGACAAAATGGCCCTTCGCAAACAGGTAGAGGTCAAGTTTTGGTGTCAGAAGTGGACTACAACACTGCTGCTGCCTTGTATTCAGCTTTATCAACACAATACATAGTCAACCTTGTTCACTGTGTTCTCAATCATGCAACATTAAAATTGGTGGATCTGACTAGAGCAACTTGTTTCAGTGATTATAACAATTTCAATCAGAGATGAGGAAATGATTTGGTGAATACAATCAGTGCATCTGCTTTCAGTACGACACCTGAACCTCAAACTTTGACAGTGTTATATCATGCTGTACCCACTAAACCACTCTCCAGATAATTACATTTTATCATTATTTATATGATTATTCTGTTAGGTCTGATTTAATGGTTTAAGTTATGTGATCAAGGTTGGTTTATCAAATCCAAGCTAAAAGGCACTTTATAAATATAACAATGTAGTGTTAATTGTTAAAAAGTGGAATTAAGTTATTTGTAGAGATATGATGAAGATATTGCTTAAATTCCAATCTTCCAGGTTTGTCATTTTATATTTTCAGTAAACTACAAAACAATGTGCATTTAGATATTTGCCTTATTCATGTGCACTGAATAAAATACATGCAGTACGAGAGTCTGCATTTTCCTTCAGAAGCTGTAAACTGAATTTTACTACATTTTTAAGTACAGCATGGAAAATAAGGTCACACTGGTGACCTATTTTAATCAACTTTGATCTACCAAAGATAAACATATCAGTGCTTTTGTAGTTACTGTATTTTTCCATTTCTTGTTCATCCAGTGCAAAACTACCATCAGATTATTCAGACTATTTACAGTTTTTACTTGACAGCATGTTACTTTTCACCTTAAATGAGCAAACGATTGCTTATAAATGTTGTTTATCCTGGATTTATCTGTGCTCCAGGCTCAAGAGAAGGCATCTTCCTACATAAAGTACCTGGAGCTTCTCAGTCAGAAGGCTCCAGACTTTCCAATCCCTCTCAGGGCTCACACTGTCTGGGAGGGCATGACGGTCAAACTGTCCTGTACCATCTGCGGCTCTCCACCCCCAAAGGTCACGTGGTAAGAACTTCTGTCTCTGCAGCACTCCATTCTTTTGGAGTTAACTGACCTTCTGCGATTCCTTTTCAATAAGCTCGTATCAAACTCTACTGCTGTGGTCATGCTACAGACTGGTGTAATTTTAATTTAGTTTCTTACATGGCTGGAAAAGGTTACAGCAGAAAAAAAAGTCTCATGCTCCACAGTTATAAGTCACTGAGAAAAGCTGGTGTAAAATAATATGCACTCCTGATACAACTTAACTTTATCACTGCAGTAGAGTTGAAATGATCACTTTTTTCTTAGATGAGTCAATCACAACATAATTCAGTATCAAGAAATGAGATCAGACTTTGTGGTTTCAGCTTTATGACTGCGATCATTTGCTGCGTTTCTCAGTTTTATATCACTGCAAAATCCATTTGTGTTTTAGACAGACAAAAAACTCAGGCCCCTCTTTTGAACATGGGAAACTGACATTATTTCACCATTTTTTGATCATTTGTAAACAAAAGGTTGAATCAATCTAATATTAAAAAATAATGAAAATGATTATTAGGACTGGATACTGATACTTATCTCAGTTCAATTCCGTTTTGATTCATTTCATTTCATTATGATTTCATTTAGTTCAGATGCTGCAGAAGGTGATTTTCAGAGCTTAAATTGTTTTCTACATTCAGCAAGCGAACAACACTGTTTCCTCAAGTATAAAATTATCTGAAGTTCACATTGTAAACATTTCCTGGTTATAATGTTGGACTAAGCATTTATTTTCCTCAGCAAATGAAAAACAACTACAACATTACTTTTTTTAGGTACCTGTGCAAAACATCTGAGCAGAAATAATAAAATCTTTGTCATTATTGTCCATAATTTAAAAAGTAGATGCTAGCCCTTCCATCTGCATACAGTAGCAGAAGCTTAGATCAGTGTCTTTTTTCAGCCTGTCCCTCTCCTCAACAGGATCTCTAGGTCCACTACGAGTTAGCCACAGTCAGCCAAACATCCTGAATCATGACAGTCTAAAGTGTGACATGCTGGCTGACTGCCATAACTCAATGTGGCTAACATAGCCAGCTATCACCTACGTTACTATATAACTTAATATAACATTTTTGTGCAGGCTGCATTTTCCACAAAGTACATATTTTACAAGCCATGCAGTCCAAACTGAACCACTTTCAACAAGTAACCTCTGCATACACATAATACTTAGCATAGATGTGTGCTTTCTCAGAAAATGCAAAAACTGATCGAGATTTCAAGAATCTATACTGAATCGTTCAAGTAAGAATTGGAACTAATCAGAAAAAAATCAATATTTTTATCCAACCCTATTTGTTATGAAATCATTAGAGACAGGTGAGGGGTCAGTTCAGTTATACACCTGTGTAAACAGACTAAAACTCATGAGATGGTTGTGTAAAAAAAAAGAAAAAAAAAAAGAACAAGAGTCGTGACACTACAGCAGTGAACCCTGACTTGAATACTGCCCATGATATTAATATGAAATCACCTGTGTTCATGCAACGTGCCAAACTGCCAGCCTTGATACTTGAGCTGCTGCGTTGACTATGTGATGAAAGGACGGTGTGCTCAGGATTCATAAACCTAAGCTGAGATCCAGATAACCTGCAGCTCTAACATTTCACCATCACATATGGGTCCCATCAAGCCCAATGAGCTGCAAGAGGCTGCCCTCAACGATGCCCGGCACAAAACAGAATGAGAGATCAAAGGCCTTCCCTGGCCGAACTAATATTTGACTAGTCAGATAGGTGCATAAGGAATCAGTGGGCATGAGCCTCAACCACCCAAGTGTAGCCCGCTGTTCTCCTTTACTTTGATATAAAAACAAAAACTTATAAACAGTAGGTTAGTAATATCTATTTTTCTACATTTTTAATTCAGGTATAAAGATGGTGTCCCAATGAGAATGTCTGACCAACCATGGAATTACACCCTTGAGCAGAAGTTTGGTCTCAACTCACTGGAGATCAGAAGGTAGGTTATTAGGGCAAATCTCTTATTAAAGCCTAAAAATGACTGTGTATAAATATGTACAAATGACATAGGAGTGTGTAAGATGAGACAAGTGTGGATAACACAGTCTTGCCAATTCTGAAAATGCAGTTTTATGAGATGCAAAATGATTGTCAAACAGAAATAAACACTGAAGATTATCTAAAATCAAATGATGAAGAGAGTCAATTACATAGAGTGGTCTGATAGTTATGTTGTATTTTAGGGATAATTTAACAGCTGAAACAACACAGTGAAGCCATTTTCATCTTTCACAGACAAATAACTGACGTCTTGTATCCTATCAAGGTGCTCTCCTGATGATGCTGGCGAGTATAAAGTGGTAGCAAAGAGTCCCCTGGGGGAAGCTATGACCTTTGCAACACTTGTGGTGAACTGTGAGTAGCTGCTTGTTTCATATTAGCGCAAACTTGCTGGAAAACTATTCTAGATATGTTGGGTTACAAAATTATTCCTTCCGAGAACTGATATACAAGAATTTAGCTTCATAATTTAACAGTACTCTACCTAATCTTCTTTATCCCCTCGGGTGCTAGAGGGTCTAGAGAGACTCGAAACAATGTTACACCATAAGCTGCTCCTAACCGCTTTGGATGGATGCCTGGTTGCAACAAACAGTGCAGAATACAGCCCTGAGTCTTAGTCGGTTAACTTACTACCGAGTAAATTTCCCAGTCCAGTAGAACGCTTTGGTTTTGATAATGTGACACAAAGCACTAATGTACATAAAGTTTGAATTACTCCAAAATAACAGAAGGGCTGTAAGCAGTGGATTGTATAGCTGAGAGACACCATGTTCTGTCCCCTTTTGCTTGACTGATCAGATAATGTGTAAAATCTTAGTTAATGCACTTTTAAAATGGGATGCTGAGAAACTAGGGTAGGATATCTGTAAAACAAACCTGAGTAGCTATGGGACAAGGGGCCAAGCAGCATTTAGGCTACGCCACAGGATTACACATCTGTCCAAAATGCCCCTTTCATAAGGCCTTTTGTTTCAGCCTACACTGGTAGCCTAGGTTAATCATAACACTGCATTAGTGAAGTCTTGGTGAAAGGATGAAAGAACAGCCAGGTTTACAGACAAACACCGGGAAAGAACAACCAAAAAGCAAGGCGATCAAAAGCACTGACCAAGCGGAACAGAATAGTAACAACACAGGAAAACAAAACACACGCATGGTCATCCACAACACTACTGACAGCAACCGTGTTTAGAAAACACCCAAAAGCAGACAGGTGCATGGCCAAAAAACAACAGCGGGGTTTACAAACTAAACCTTACTCACCATTAGTTGTAATCGACCACTGGTGCACTTGCTGGTTAGGTCTCCACTGCAGAGCCAGCAGATGGGTCCTGGATGTTTTGACTGAAAATGTCCTTATCCAAACAGAAGCATTGCGCAGCATCTGTCGTGGGAGAAGGTATACTCCAAGAAAAAAAAGTCTCCTTCATAAGTGACCTTTGCATAAACAGCTGTAAATAAAAAATGTGGAAGTTCTGAACTTGTTGTACATGCGGACTGTTGGTAGACTAACGGAGGGTTAATGGGCTTTATGACTTTATGTCCATAGGCGTCCCAGTGTCCACTTCAGGGACAGTAAGTCAGATCATTTTCCGCTACTGCTAAACTCTGAGTAACTGGAGAAAAGTACGATAAAATAAGTCATTAGATAAAACTGAAACTTAGCAGTTAAGTAGGCACAGTGAGGTGATGTAGTAGGCCACAAGTGTCCAATTAACAGAAGCCCCATTCCCTTGCATGGCAGGTGTCTTAGGCAACTGATAAACACGACCAACTGTGGTGGTCTTGTTATTTGCACATGAGTTTGGAGAGGTGTTAAAACTTATAAGCACCTTTGTTTCCCTCGTTTCCCTCAGTTCCATTGTTTCCTTGTGTCCTCCCACAAACACTTGAGCAGAGCGAGGACTGAGGAAACAGGTTATTACGTAACAACGTGAGTCCTTTCCTCAGAGCCTTCATCTGAACTGTCCAATCACCAACTGATTTCTGATAAAGGGGCGTGTCCGTTCGACTTTCGCGGAAGCATGTCGGACGTGGCTCCTCCAGCACCGTCCCCGGTCCTGGCTGCTCAGTCCTCAGAGCCCAGCGATCCTATAAGAGACATAAGACCCACCCTGTATCTTTGTCTGTGTGTAATTGCAAATGTGTATGCAGATTTGCAGGTGTACTGAGATTTGTTCGTGTGTAAACTGTAAATGTGTATACAAATTTGTGTGTGGAAAAGATTTGCATGTTAAACACCCTGCAAAGATGTGCAAATCAAAAATCGAATGTAAATGCCCCTTTTTATTTTGAGTGGAAACTGTAAGTAGGCCATTTAGCCTCAGCGTTAAAAATTCCTCCCATCTGCCTCCTCTTAAAGCTTCCAGTCTTTTCATTGCTGAGTTCAAATGTAATTTTTTTTTTAAGAAGAATGAGTTTTGATCATTATTGTTCTTACCCATGCACAGTGTGGTTCTTGATGCAAACATTTAGTATTGTAACGTCAGCTGGGTAAAGCGGGGTCGAAGACCAGAGCTTGTCTTTTCCTTGTTTGTTTTCTCCTCTGGCAAACACACAGCGACACAGAATACCATCACACACTGAACCCACTCTAATATGTCCTGCAAAGTCCAAACTACATACTTCCCGTCCAGAGGGGCATAGCGGGAGACCCCACCAATAGTCTCTTCTCTCTGGCATTATGGGGAATCCCTCCAGGTGCTGCTCTACCCCAACGCTTCAGTATTTTATTATTTGATTTTATATTTGATATTTGGATGAGAAGTGACACCAGACTAAGATGAGAAAGATTAAAATAAGCACAAAAGGTGCAATGGTGATCAATATCTCCTTTAAATGAATCGCCCTATTTTTAAGCACCCACTGCCTGCCATTAGTTCCCTGGCGTTAGATCGTTTTGGTGGATGGATGGATGGATGGATGGATAGATAGATAGATTGCTTTATTAATCACCCAGGGGAAATTAAGGGTTCTAATGAGCTCTGTCAAGGCTTCACTTTGCCATCTATATTTCATAGACTTTCTTTGGTTGTTAAAAATAGGTAAAAGGGAATATTAGATGTGGCTTTTGTCTGCCTTCTCTCTCTCTCTCTTTGTCCTTTAGTTTCACAATATAACTCTCTGTCTCTGTTTCCATCTCTGACCCTTCCTGCCATGCTCCAATCTGTTCTGCCCTGCCGCTCTGCCACTCTGTGATTCAGCATATCAAGGAGCTCTGGCTGGTTCAGAGTACTCACGGACCCGCGGTAAGTTTCATGCCAGGGCCTAATGAAAACTGTCCTCTTTCATTTTCTCTGCCACCCTTTGAAGTTCTTCCCTCTGCTAGTAAATGAGGTAGGGGTGGGTGGCATTGAAGACTGTGACACAACACTCCAACACTGCATGCTGCACCTCATGAAGAAAGATCTAAATGGACTGAAAGAAAGCAGTGTGTTGACAGTGTGTATGAGTTTAAATAAAACAGGGGACAGATGCTTTGGGAATAGAAAGAATTTCTCCCTGTATTTATTCTGGATGCTCTCCATTTTGCTTCAAGCCTTGGAGTATTACAAATCAGTTGTGGCACTATTTTGATTAGGCTCCACCACATGTGGGGATCAGGGCATTGTCAGTGAGATCTTGCACACAGTATATGTTGCAGTAGAGGCTATCTGAGGACAGCTGCTCATGGCCCTACAGTATGCTGCTATTCTTCTGAAAGTTAGGGGACTGGTCATCCACTAAAACAACCTTTGATCAAGTTTACCTGACAAGGACTTCTAGTGGCACTTGAATTATGCTTGTTGTCTGTCAGAGGTTTCAAAGGTGGAAGAAGCTTGATGTTGTCATAGTGCCTAGGTTCTCAGGGTGGATGGATGGGATGACTGAACATGTGACTCTGATGGAGGAGACTGGTATTCTTGCAAAAATCAAACATGGATTGTTTGAAACAAATGATGTCATTTGTTCTTTACTGTGGTTTGATGTCACTGAGACTCTGTTGTATTTACTCTCTCTTGTCACTTCCCTCTCAGTCAAAACCAACATTGGTCAGAGCATCTAAGTCCTGAAAAAGAAAAGCTTGACAAAATTCTGTTTGATCTGTTTTAGAATCATCACCATCATTTACAACATGGCTCTTATATTTGCAGCTGTAGCGATCATTCCTGTCAGCTCACTGTTGAACCTTATGACCTAACCTATAACATTATCATCTGTGTTTATGACCACCCGCTGCTTCCCTTATTGAACCCCTTTGCAAAGTTATGTCTACCAATTAAACCCCTAGATGTCAGCAGTGAGAATGATGAATAGATTCTCAGTGAAAGAAAATACTGATTGGCGAAGCCCAGGTTATAAAAAAATCTGAATTTCCTTTAGCATTATTTCTGTTAGGTCATAAGTCATGCAGACTGACAATGAGATTTTAAAATGAAGACTATGGTTCTTGCAGACCGATTTAACAGTAAGGAATATATAACAACCCTGATTAGGATAAGTGGCACAGATAATGGATTGATGAATGGAAATATATTACTGTTTTAAACAGGAGACAGAACTATTAAACCAAAGTCCAGTACATCTTCTCAGGACGAATACAAACAGATCATCATCTCTTACACAGGGACGTCTTTTAGTCTACAACTTTCATCAGCATCTTGCAAATGCGCCACTGATTCTGCGCACTCAGAAATGAAGTGGCAGTTATTTTAAAATGAAGTTGGATCAACATGTAATGGCATAAGGTCCTGCTTCCTGCAGAAATGTACCAAAGAACTGCATGCTGCTATTTTTATGTCTCAAATAATATTTAACTCTGTGAAATACTCTATAAAACAAAAGCATGGTGATCTTATTATTGTCATCAGTGTGCTGCTGGAAGCAAGGGTTTGAGCATTTGAATCTAAGCATCGTGTTTTAATATAATACAAACTCATGTGATAGCCTGGACTGCTAAGCAGAGCATGATCATTATAAGAAACATGTCACAGTGTCTCAGATTCATCCCTGAGGATGGGATTTGACAAGACCTCATGGCGCATATATCTCTCACTTCCAGACTGTGTTGCTCCAGTGCTTTGACAAGTGGATGAATAGTAGCTGAAGGAATAACTTGTCAGGAATTGTTCACTTTCAAAAAACTGTCACATCTTCAACTTTTCTGTTGGCCTCTGCTGCTTCCTCCAGGGGATTCCTCTCCTGACAGTCCTCTGTTTCTGTGCTCTAGAGCGGAGGAGCTTTGTGTTTGGCTGTGTCAATCTGCATAAAATGGTCTTTTTAGTTAATTAAGCCCCTCTGGATTGATCTGTTCAGTGTCATTTCCTGCCACTAGTGAAAGAAACTGAGAAAGGAACGGAACTGAGAAAAGAAGTGTTTGTTAGTGCTATCTTGCAGAGAAAAATGAGGAACTGATGTTACAGCACAAATGTACTCATTGTCACGGAGAGTTTTTTTTTTTTTTGCCCAGGTTTGGTGACAGATCTTAGGATAGTATGCCGGCCCCAGCTCTTAATTCGTAGCGCCATAAATCATCGTACTTCTTCCTGTCAGCCCTTTACCTCTGCACACCCTCTGCCTCTTGATTTGCCTCCTCTTTACCTGTGATGCGTTTTGTCTTTGTAGTGGTCCAAACGACATTCATGCAAAGTCATTACCATATGGAATATGTTTGGTGCAGTAATGTTGTGGCTGGAGTGGACCTCTTTATGATAGCAATGTTATCTTTGCCCAGCACCAGTGAGGACAGCAAAAGCTGACATAGAATATCAATTAAAAGTGCTTTTCTTTCTTTGTCGAGCCTTCTTTTTGTCTGCCAGTTTTCCTCCTCCTTACCACTGCCTACTTGTGCTCCTGCATCTTCTCCTTTATCTTTCCTTCTCATCCTCATTCTTCATTCTTACCATGTCATTTTCAAACCTTGTCTTTCTCCTGAATGTTTCTCTCTTAGCCTTGCAGGCCCAGTTTGGCACCTCCTTCCCCCCCACCTGGGTAAAGGAGGGCAGCAGCCTCACACTGCAGTGTACCTTCACCTCAGCTCTGCTCCCCTTCCAGCAGGATGTCAGCTGGTTCAGGGATGGTGAGGACTGTTAAAGATGAGTCACTGGATCCAGAGTTTTGGCAGTTTAGATTTGTGCTGGTTTGTCAGTTCATTTTTTTGTTCTCTAGGCATACAGCTGCTTCAGTCCAGCACTGTGGACATTAAGACGGCCGACAACCAAGCCAGCATCACTTTAAAGGTTGCACACAAGGAGCATGAGGGTGTTTACACAGCTCAGCTGAAAACCTTGGATGGAATCCAGGAACACAGTGCTTTTGTTTATGTCACAGGTGAGGCCAAACATAAAGTGCCTGCCTTTAAATTTTTACCCCTATTCATACACTTCATCAACACATGAATGGTTTTGACATAAATACTGCAGTTATATTTAGTCTTTTTTATTAATAATTATGTTGTATCTTTTAACAGTATAACTATACAGAAATTGGTTCCCAAACAACAGATTGTTTTGTTTAAGTGTCTCATTCATTGTGTCTTACATTGAAATGTTTCATATGTTCAATGTAATGCTTCAATTTTGACATGATTATTGTTTTCATAGTTTAGTGAAAATTTTAACACAAGGTTCATTGACTACCTTTGACAAAACTTTAAACAGCACTGTATATTCTTCATAAGCAGAGTTGGCTCTGCCATGAATATCAAAGCTCCATTCTTCATAGGTCACATGGCAACTGAGTGAACTCCATCCTGAGATAAGTGAAAGCCCTGGAAAGGTCATTCAGTAGAGCTTGTGTTAAGGTTGCTTTGTCAGACAGCATCCCCCTTCCCATACTGGTGCAAAGAAGCCTCAAAGCCAAAATGTTAAATCATTTCTTTAATGATGTTCTTTATCCATGGGCCAAAGTGTGACTACATCCTGATGTATAACAGTTTCAAAATGTTCATATGCCCATTTATTTTCATATGCAACTATGACTACATATTATAGAAGCATCACTTTACTTAGGAGCAGGTGGTCATCATTTATATGCCTCTGCTCAGGGACAGTTTAAATCATATCAGAAACTCTTCAGACACCATATGTCCTTCCTAAACAGCAGGCCAGCCTGTCTTTTAAGAGCTGTACTTCATTCTGAAATGATGTCTGTAAAAGCCTGACAAATGCTGTGGAGTGACCTTTGCACCCTTGCATACAAAAATACCTGTGTTTTGAATATAATCATCATTTATTGTTCCAAGTTGGACACATTTGTGTGTATTTTGACTGAAATCTCTTCTCAAAACACTATTTGTATTCACCAAAGTTTTCTCTACTCTCATTTCCAAGCAAACTCCCCTGATCCATACAGGGAGATTGCACCATCAATCAAGCTGTCCTGCAGTAGAGAGCTGTTCAGTGAAACTATATATTCTTTACAGACTACTATTTTCTTGTGTACATGGTTTGCAGCATGCAAATAAACCAGAGAATAACTCCCACTTCACCCATAAAACATTTTAAAATGTGTCTGTGCAGCTTGTATGTGTTTCAATCTAATACCCAGTGCCTACTCATGTGTATATTGCACCTAAACTGCCACAGTCAGTATAATGTGAACTGAATCATTCATGAGCAGGGTGTACAAAAATTAACATGTAGCGATCCAAACATACATATATATATATATGTACACAAACATTTAAATGCAAAATAAATATTCCACCAAAGCTCCATTTAGCTCAGGTGTCTTGTTAAGGAGCTTGTTCTTTACCAGAGCCGGAGGTACTAATTAGTGAATCAGTGAACTTCACTGTGTGTGTTTTCTCCTTCATTCAGCTGTCATATTTGCATTACAAACAAGAGGTACGGGAGAATAAAAACAAATGAGTGAGAAGGAGGAAAAGGAGGGAGAGCAGGTGAAGATACACATTTAAAACAGGAAAGAGCTGTGCTTGATGTTGACTTCAGTCCTGTTAAAAAGAAAAGTGTGCCTCAAGAAAAAGATTCAGATAAATGTCACAACCAATCGAGTCAATCCGCTTAACATAATTTCTTCATTTTTTTGCTCCTTTCTCTGTCTCATCACATCCACTTATGATCATATACTGTATGTCCAGTAGGGATGCAACTTTCTTGATTCATCTGTTAATCATTTGGTTTGTAAAATGCCAGAAGACAGTGAAAAGTTCCCATAACAATTTTTAAAGCCAAAGGTTATTTCTTCACATTGTTCATTTTTTTCAGAGCAAAACACAGCTCTTTGTTTCAGCTCCAGCAGTACAGACCTGTTACTCCCTGTACTTCCTCTGTCTTAGTCACTGTCTTTCGCTATGTGACCCAGATTATTATTTAAATGGTTGGTTTAAATGAGCTTGATTACTTTAAATTTCACTATAGTCACACTCCACCAGCATCATCCTGTCTTGTTTCTACATCTCACCTCCTCCTGTCTACCTTTATCCTCCCACTGTTGTCAACAGTTTTCCAGTTAGGTCGTGCTCTTTCATTGTTCCACCTCTAAATGACTTTATGCTGCTGCTCTTCAGATGCGTCAGCTGCAGTGTTGGGAGGACCCGCTTCTCCTCTGGCTGTCAAAGTATCTGATGTCAACAAGGACTACGTCTTCCTTACCTGGCAGCCACCCAGTGCTGATGGAGCCTCACCTGTGGACGGTTATTATGTGGAAAAGTGAGGATTATTCTGCATGACACATAATGACCCTTGAGACTGAAAGTTCATGCTTGACATTGAGCAGTAGCTGATAAAACAATCAGACCACAGGGTACATCTGTTCCGGAGTGTTCCTCAGCTGATGGAGTTTTTTTTTCTCCACCTCTCTGACAAATCAAGTCTGACTGTCGAGCTAGGGTAGAAATATGCATGCATTCATAATATACAATATATAATACCAAGTTGAACATAAAAATATTTTATATTGTCTGATCAGCTGTTTAAAAACCTAAATGCATAATGTTATTAAAAGAAAAGCAACAAATCTTTTCAAGTGGAAAGCTCACCTCAGAGATTGTTATTTCTGTTTGAAAAATAGTTAAATCCATTGATCCATTGAGGGCTATCCTTCCAAATAATAATCAATTGTACAGAAAAATATGTTAAAAATGTCACCCAAGACCAAATCTGGGATTTTTAGATTATTATAAGTGTAGAAGCAAACCTTTAGAGTCAAAATAAAAGTGAATGTAATGGTAATTTTTCATGACCGCAAACACTGAACTCACATTGACTTATTCTCCAGGCTTACTTAAGACAGTATTTACTGTACATTTATTTACAGTGTTGCAAGTCACTTTAGACCTAGAGTAAAACTATATGACTGAGTCTTACTTTGCTCTGTGTGCTGGTGAAAAAATTGGACTGGAGCAGGGAAAGACGGCGGTGGCCACTAGCAGTGGTGTAATAATCATTTGGCAGCTTCGCATCAGATGGATGGTATAGATGGTAATTATCAGCCATCAGCGCTATGTTAACAACAAGAGCAGGTGCTGTACATGTCACCAACACCAATCAGTTAGGACTCTTCTGTACATGTGTTCATGTGTGTATGTTTGTGTGTCAGTGTGTTGTAATAAATGTGTTGAAAGAGCAAGAGAAAGCATGTTTGCATTAGTGCATTTCTATCACGTTCTTTTGTGCATTGGTGTGTTTATTTTCATGTGAACTCATTGTCGTTAAACGGTATTCAAGTTTTGTGTGCGTGTTGTACACTTGTGTGTTTGTGCCTTGCACAGCTTCTTTATTCAGTGTAGAAGATACATCTCCCAAATGTTATTGGTTATTGGGTGCGGAAGGAAAAATGTGAGATTGCCAGTTCCCTAGCAACTGCCTTCTGGTTAGAAAACTGCACTGTTTTCTGCCTTTGTTTACTGCAAGTGGCAATAGTTTGTTATCAATGTTGTATAATCTGATCTTAGTCCACTTTAAAAATCAGTTTTTACTGTGCTGAGAGGCCCATTACTTTTACATTATGGTCTTTGGTCACAATTATGGGCCTTAGTGGGGTATTTACTGAGTGAAATGTGTAGTTGTGCAGGCTACAATTGGTTTTATAATGTTGTAGGCTACCCTATGGACTGCACATAAAGTGGTACAAACATCATGCGTTTACTGCTTTGTTTACTTCTTATTCCAATGTCTTGGGTTTTTTCCCTTTTTTTATTTCATCATGTAAATGCAGTATTGCATACAATGATCTCTTTCTTTCTCTCTTTCAGATTAGACTTGGGTCAGGGTGTGTGGGTTCGCTGCAATGTACATATTCAGAAAATGTGCCACTACCCTGTGTTTGGGCTAAAAGAAGGGACTCTGTACCAGTTCAGAGTTCGTGCAGTTAACCAGGCTGGTGCAGGACGCCCCTCTAAGGCCACTGAGCCCGTCCTCACTGCAGACCCCCTGGAACACACCAGAACCATGGGTACCTCATTGCACACACTGACAGTCAAATTATCAGCAAATTTAAAGATAAAGTACCATTTGGTTTGTTTGTGGTATGAAAGTACATCAGAATTTTTCGTGTGCTTATGATTTTGTTATAGTAGATACTGTATGTGATTTAGGATGGAGTCAAACGCTAACCCACTAATAAATTCCTATGTACTGATTTATACATTTATATAATATTGTACAGTAACCATGGCAACATATTTGTGTGTATGGACGTGGCCAGTGGAGTGGCCAGGGGTGACACTGGCTTGTCAGTATTAATGAATGAAAAATGAAAAACAGTGACAAATTGTTTCCTTAAATACAAGTAGCATTTTTTCTGGTGCTTTATAGTTGATATTGGCAAAATCATTTATTTATTTATTTAATTATTTATACAATTTCCTATAAGATGATTGAACATACCTTTTCATTTACAGCAATGCCCTGTTTACAATTAAAAGTCACAGTTTTATTTTGTATCATGCATGCAGCCTGATACTTGCATTCATTTCTCCAAATGTGTTGTTGTTGAGTACTTGGCATGATTCGCCTCAGTAGGGGGAACCACTGTGCCACAGTGACGTAAATAAGGAGCACAGCCAAAGTTAGCTAAAGAAAACGTTACGTGTCTCATTTTTTACATTATTATTTCATAGAACTAGAGATTTAATTAACTTTTTTTTACATGTATTTTAAATGTGCACCCCTCTCTGAGTCTGTGCTGCAGCCCTCACACCCCATCCAAAAATTTCTAGCTCTGCCCCTGTTTCTTTGTCAATGGCTGTATGAGTACAGGGACAGTTCCATGATCAATCAGGAAGTGAAAAGCAGTTTTAAAAAAAGGCATGTTGATCCCTGTTCCGCATATTTTAGTGGCGTTTTCTTTAAAAAATGGAATGAAACATAGTGGCCACATAATAATTACCTCCCTATATTATTATAGCAAGTTGTTTCTTTTGTCTCTCGCTTCTACCTGTTCATAATGATATACGAGGTCCATTATGAGGTGCTGTCGATGCTCATTACCAGCTATTTCTTTGGGAACTCATCAAAGAAGATAAACACATACTGCAGTAATGTACATCATAGCCTGTTATTAATCTTCTAAATATGATTAGTGGGTACATGTAATTGTGATGATGAAAGATCAGTCACTACATCTGTCCATTAATGAGTTACCTGTCAGCCTACAAGACTTGCTTATACTTATACTTGCTTAAAGTGCTTGTCTCATTTGCAAAAGCCAATGTTAAAGCAGACCTCCACCAGTTTTACACATCAAATTCTGTTTACTGGTCTTAGAGGAGAACTACTGGATATGTTGTACTATTGTATAAAACTTTTTGCAGGTCCAGTGGGAGTAGTATGCATAGACACCATTTTAAAATGAAATAAAATGTAAAAAAAAAAAAAGATCTTAAAGCATGGAGTTAGAAAGAACATCTCCTCATCTCAGCTTGAGGCTAAAGGCTCAAGACAACATTCCATGACTGTGAAGGCCACAGCATAAAGTACATATCATTTTCATACTCACTGAACCACCCAGTGACCCCTCAAGTCCTTTATCAAGCTTCCTCATTAGTTCTCCAACCATTTATTCTGGCTTTTCCTTTAATTTGTCACTCATCTTTACCTGCTACTACAGAGAGAATCAGTAATGTGTCGGTGACTCATCTCTACTGTTAATTCATGTCATCTGCCTCGGATTTCATGTTATACCTACAAAGAAACTTGGTTCTTTAAAGGTTACTTTTAAGGTGATACTTAAATATTTTATACAGTGGAGGGATGAGAACAGTCAAAAGAGCTGTAATGTAGATCACTGTGTGTGTTTGTGTGTGTGTGGCCTGTGAGTGAGTGTGTGTGTTAGAGGGAGGATAGATGAGTCCTGGTCCTGATGTGGATCTTCACACATAGATGTAGGACAGACAGAAGGCTGACTTACCATCCGGCCTGCTCTCAATCCTTCCATGTTTCTCTCTCTCCCTTCTTTGTATATTTCTGGCTCTTGCTGCCTTAACAGCTGGCTGCTCCTCTAACATTAACACTAATAGTGTTATCATGGGCTCTTATATAAGTTCATTACCCTGATATCACTCCCCTCTTTATTCCCTCTGCTCCTGACCTTCCTCTGTATGTGTCTCTTGTCCTTTAATAGTTATCGAAGTGGAGAACGGAAAGACAATCACCATCACAAAGGATGAACTGGAAGGTGAGAATGCTGTGTTATAAAAGGATGTCATTTGAACATTGTCATCCCTGATTTTAAACAGCCCCTGTGTTTGACTGGCACATAGGGTGTTCACCTCTCACCAGTACCGTAGGTTTCCTCAAGCTTGTGGCTTAATGCATCTTCATATTCAGTTCAACAACAATTTGCAGTAATTACATGGCTGAGGCAATAAGCATTTGTTCCATTTACAGAAGTGAAAAGAATGAACAGTCCCTGGTGGTGTCCTGGTAAATACACATAATGGCCCAAGGTAGTGTCAATGCTTATGAAGATGTCTACTAGCTTGAGAATGTAGCTCCTGGGCAGAGAGAGAAATAAAGGAACAGGAGTATGAAGTTTGAGGAAGCAACCAGAAGATGCATGTGCCAGTGGGAGTCTATTCAGCCTATTTTTGATAAAGGTTTAGAGTAGCAGGTGTGTACATGTGCAAAGGAGAGAGCATGCATGTGCGTGCAGCTTTTTAGTAATCAAATGGCAAAGAGCAAAATACAGAGTTACACTGAATCAGACTTGTGATATCAACCTTCAGCCATCAAACCTCTTTGGTCTGGAGCTCCTCTCTGATCCACACTGCAACTCTACACATTTTCAGGGGATACAAACAGAGACAAGCACAAAAATTAAGCACTTGTGACTAAATCCGCTGTCCTTTAATAGTTTGACTTTGGAGTGTCACTTAAAGTGTGCTCACTCAAACCATTTGACTATACATTAGGTCATTTGGTGTACTATAGATTAGGAATGGTGAGATTGGGGGCAGTAAATTATATAAATCTAATAGTCCAGCACACAAAGCATAAAACGTCCTGATGCAGAGATTTTAACAAAAAGAGAACTAAAAGCAAAACCTCCTCTGGCACTTTTCTCACTCCACTTTCCTTCTAACTTATCTTGTTCTAACCTTTTTCTTCACCCTCCTCCTCCTCCTCCTCCTCCTCCTCTTCTTCCTCTTTTTGCTCTGCAGGTCAAGTCAAAATTCCCTTTCCTCCTACTAATGTCCACGCCTGTGAGGTGAGCGACACCTACATGGTGCTAAGCTGGACTGAGCCTGAACCCAGAGGCAGGGAGCCGCTCAACTACTATGTGGAGCAGGTGAGTTTTCCTCTCTCTTTCTCTCATACACACACACACACATACGCATCACATACATATTCATATTCATATTACAATAACTCTGTGGACCTTGGTTGTCTACAGTAATGGTAAAGCTTTTAGATTGATTTCTCACCTCTAGCCATTCTAGGCCATGTTAGAGCAAGAAGAAATCAACTTGCAGAGACTTGAAACTGGCTTCAGATAGGAAATCTATCATATGCAGTTCACTTTTTGGTAAAAGTTTTGCTCAAATCAAATGTGTTTATTGAGCACAATTGAAAAAAAACAACTAGAGTTGGCCAAAGTGTCAACGATTTGTCAACAAAAGACACAGCAGTGACATCTAGAGCACTCAGAGAGCACACATACCTCCCCTAAGGCACAACAGTCGCTCATGCAGGTGGGTCCCTTGTGAAAAATGAGATCCAGAACAACACAAAATGTGTCCAAAAATCTTTGATCCAGAAAAAAAAAATTTATAACGTTGACTTGTCAACAATCCAATCCACAGTAGGATCAAGCTGGGTTCCAGATGAGTCTCTTGTGAGGCAGTTCTACTGTGCATCTTACCTGAACATTTCAAGCTTCTATCTTCATTATAGGCCAAGTTATGGCAGAAAATGTGCATGAAATTTCAATGATGAGTTTAAATGGCTGTCAGATCCAGATGAAACTTGGTCTGATTATAAACATTGCCACCCTACATATGTGTGTTAAATGATTTTGATAACTTTTGATGAAGATATAAATTTTTTAAAATTTTGCCCTTTGTTAAAGATAGGGATTTTTGTCATTTTCTTTATTTTTTTGTGACCTTGACCTCTGACCTTTTTCAGCCAAAAATCACTTTAGGATTGGTCCCCACCAATGTCTGTATCAAGTATGCTGATGATCCATCCAGCCATTTGTTAGCTAACAGCTACTGTAAAGAGACAACAAGTTGGAGGCGAGCAAAATAAAAGAAAAATGAAAGTGAAGTTTAGATTTCGATTCATAGGGCGCCGGAAGCATGACGCTAAATTAATGCTAAAGATGCTCTGTAATGACGTGTAAGAGATATGATGAGCAGGAAGATGTCCTAACTGTGGAGCTTTTTGCTCTTGTACAGGAAACAAAAAAAACACACACCCTCACCCTATTCCACTGACACAGTCGGATACAGTACATGCTACCGCTCACACACACACACACATACACAGGTAAAAATATATTCAAATACAAACTACTATTATAATTAGTAATACCTGCACATCTACTGAACACAAGGATCAGTGTTCTTGCATCATCACTTCCTCCAGTCTCTGGTGAGGTCTGTTCAATCCATTGCTGGTACATGAGCCAAATTAACTGCACAACTCCTGACCACAGCACTAACTAGACAGCACTCAGAGAGTGCAAACCTCTGCCAAGGTAGATCACTGTAGCTATAATGCCATTCCATCTAAAATCAATATTCCCATAATAGTCTGACCATCATAATTTGATTCCTTGACCAAGAGAACCATTGATATCATTATTAGTTTCAAAGTTATTTAAGAAAAACAATATTTCAGTATTGGCGGTTTTCTTCAGAATCAAGCTCAGTAACTTTAGGAGATATGTCAAATCTGTTGACACCCTCCTGAGTCAGCAGAGTTTCAGCTAGAATTTGATGTTGTAAGTCTGTAGCGTTGTTTGTCTCACAGTAGAAAGGTGTCTGAGAGCTCTATAAATTTGAACATTCTGGATCAGCAGATCTGTAATATTACTTGGATCCAAACCAGCCTTTGGTGTGTAGTCCTGTAGATCTTATGTGTATGTTATTGTGCAATTTCTGTCCAAGCGTTGCAGGCATTATGAATAGAGTTAGAGCAAAAATATTGAAATTGGCCCTATCTCACAATGGTAGAAAATTCTTTATAAAACAAAACAAAAAAAATCCTGGATCCACTCAGTACCAGAATCTAATGGATTGTTCCATGGGCCTCGTCCTAACTCTCCAAAAAAATGTCATCAAAATGCACTTATTACTTTTTGAGTTATGGAGTTATGTTGTGAACAACAAATAAACATTACCTCCACCTTGGTGGGAAGCGAGAGGAGGAAAACACACACACACTTATGCCACTGTGGTGTCAGTTTAACTGTGAATTTGTGAACTCATTAGAAGCAAGCTCACCTTGATGTTGCTCTTCCACGCCGTGCGCTTTGGCACTAGGGGTTTGATTTTCTTTCTTGCATACCTGAAAGAACTTTTACTTTCTAAAACTACTTGGATCTGAGATCTGAAGGTTTAAGACAAACCGGACTACAGCATATTCTGGTCTTGACTTGTATAGCAGCATTTAAGTTATGTATTTAAGGTAGTAACTGTAAAAGCAAATAAAGCAAATAAATGTTGTATTTTCAGATTCAAAGTTCAAAATGATGCCAAAATAACCAAATTATCTTCGGATACAGCAAAGTGCAAGGACTGGCCTCTCCAGTATCAACCCAGACATAGCTTCAAGCTCCAATAAACAGAAAACTGCCTTTAGACTCCATTCATACATTTTATTGGACTTTTAGAAGTTACTGGGGTAATAAAACTGTCAAATCTGTCAAAGGCATCTGAAATTACTAAAATCAGCTGCTTCACTCCCTCTTATATAATGAAGGGAACAGTCAAATATCCCTTTCTCCCCTGAGCAAGCACCTTATAATCTTTGATCTCTTTGACATACCCATTCTATTGTTAGAGGATATAACAGTAATATAGAGGAGGGGAATTTAAAACAGACTATAACAGAGAATGTTAGTATAATAGAGTACCATCAGCAAAAATGATGTATTGGCAAAGATGAAAAGTTGACAAAATGAGTCACTGGTTGTCCTTAGTGTACCTGCTTGGCTTTGTCTTGGTGTGACTGTCTTCTGAATCCGTTTCTGCCTTGTCTTTGTCTGTCACACCAAACTCCTAATCTTTATTCCTCTTGTCTGTGTGTTACAATAGGTGGTTTGTTCCAAAACTACACCAGCTAACTATAAGTGATGGTGTGAAATTAAAATGATTTATGAGGTTTTTACAGAGCGTCTCGTCTGTCACTCAGTCTTGTGCAGATTGAGCCTCCAGCATCTTTAAAGGATACTGAATAATGAACAAGTCCTTGAGGCAGATGGTGCTTTTAAAATTAACTTTGTGTTTGTTTGTTTTTTTACTGCTGTACTTATATCAGTCCCTGGCAGAAAAGAGCAACTGGGAGCTGGCCAGTCTGGACATGACGGTAAGCTCTCCCAGGTTCCCAGTGTTTGACTTGGTCACGGACAAGCAGTACTGCTTCAGAGTGCGTTCCGTCAACAAGTATGGCATCAGTGACCCCTCTGAGCCGAGCGCACCCATCTCCTTGGGAAAGCCAGAAGGTGAGAATATGCTCCATCATGTCCTGCTACCCATGTTTAAAAGGTTAGTAAGATTTTGTAAAACTGATTCTTTCACCTACTGGACCTGCTGAAGTTGTGCACACTGAATTACAATGTGAAGGATTCTTATGACAGATATTGCTGTATGAATTTCTTGAGCTTTGTGTTTTTGAAATTGTCTGTATTTCCTTACACCACACTCAACCACAGTGTGGATATTTATACCTCAAGTTTAAGAAGAACAGTGATTAGTTTAGTAATATGAGCAGGCCTATGGTATGTTTGGTTTATGTTTCAAGGCCCATCAATGAATTGAGGCTTATCTGATTATAATAATTCAACTTAGTAAATGTCTACACTATCATCCAGCTCCCTGAGCAGCAGTGGTGAAAGATGTAAGATCCTGCAGTTCAAAGCTGCAGTACTACAGTGTACAAATACACAGTTTTACAAATACACATTTTAGTCAAGTGAATGTAGAGAAGTATTATCATTACAAATCAAAAGCAAAAGTTCTCATAATGAAACATAACTCCTTGCAGTATGTCATGTTATCATGTTTAATTATAATTATTGATGTAATAATTTAAGTGGAGATAACTCAAGCTACTTCCTAGGGGGTGGTTTTACATTTATAAAATACATTATGTTTTATTTGTGGATCACGTATTCTATATCTAAAAGATGTGTCTGCAAACTAGCTAGTAAGTACAGATAAATGTAGTGAAGGGAACAGTTCAGTATTTCCCTCTAAATTGCAGTGGGGTATAAGTATAAAGCAGCACTTAATGAAAATGCTCAACTGAAGTGTAAGTACAGTATCTCAAAGCTGTATTTTAGTACAATAATTAAGTCACCACTGCTCAGCAGCTTAACGTCAGACCCACTGACTTAATGTAGCATCAGGTTCAGTTCCTCTGTGTCTGTGAAAGATACTTCCTGGTATTTTAAATATCAACATGAATTTTCCAAAATCAGTAAGAATTGAATGGCTTGTCTCTTATGGTCACTTTTCATTTGATAATTTCAGCTTTTACAGTTGTAGCTGATATTTTTTTCCATTGGATTCCCATTAGCTTTGCCAGCTCCACCTCACTCTGTCATGGCCATCAGAGACACAAACACCTCGGTGCTGCTCCAGTGGCGGGAGCCCAAAGAAAAAGACAATATCTTGGGATACTACATGTACTACAGTGAAACTGGCAAAGAGTTGTGATGACATTTGTTAACATGTTTCTGATTAGCTGCGAGAAAAATTGTTTTGCAAAGTAGATATATTATAAATAAGTAGTGCACAACCAGGGCGATATGGGACCTACACAAGGGGTGGCAAGTTGTGATACGATTAGTAGGATTCAAAAGCACACAAAATACCCAAACTGCCACAAAATAACATTTATTTCTCCATAGTTTTCTCTAATCTTTGCTCTTTTTCATGAGTTACTGTATAATTTTGCCCCCTCACTTGTCTTTTTCAGTTAAACTGATCACAGCTGGCAGACATATACAATTTGTTACAAGAGCGTACGAACAAATTACTGTTTTACTTTTAAACAAAGTAAGCAGTGCTTGCAGTAGATCTTCCTTTAGCACAGACATCTATCTAAAATTTCCAAGCAGGTAGTTACAATGAGCCAAAGGTTTAATAAACGGTGTAATAGATGGTGACATCATCTGTTTCACCATTCACTCTGCCTAAACATTTTCTCTCCCCCCTCAGGTTTATTGTCCATGGTCTCAAGACTGGAAAAGAATATGTGTTTAGGGTGAAGTCTGTGGGCCGAGCAGGAAACAGCAGCTATTCAGATGAGTCTCAGCCCATACTCGTCAAATCAGCCATTCGTAAGTCCATCTGCCATCCAAGACACAAGAGAGTGGGCATAAAATTAATGTTTGTTCTAATGTGCTGACATACTGCACCTGTTCAAGAGCTACTGTATCGATCCTTCTTCCTGTGTTGCCCTCTCAGATAATATGCTCTGTGTAGCCTGCGGTGAAGTTCAATAATGATTTCCTTTTTGCTATTCACTGCGAGAATATTTTCACATTCATTCGGCCACTCTGCTATTACCTGGAGATTAGTGGCTGAAGTCCAGCTTTTATGAGGAATGCATTCTATCAAATAAAAAAATCTGTTGAATATTTCTTCATACAAAGCCTAGAGTTAGAGATACAAACTTTGGGCAGAAGTTGTCAGGGAGTTTTTAGCATCTCTCAGTCTGTTTAGCAAGAATGGTTTGCTGCTGAGAGTAGTGCTTCTATCACGTATGTCTTTAAAAACAAATTTTTAAATTCCTTCCTTGTTTCAGGTGTTCCTTCTGCTCCATCTGCCATCACCCTGCTGCTGTGCACTGGATCAGAAATGGTGTTGGGCTGGAGGGCCCCTGTGTGTAATGGGGGAGCTTCTGTACGTGGCTACTACCTGGACCAGCGGGAAAAGGACATGAAAATGTGGAGAGAAGTCAACATCAAGCCTACCAAAGAGAGACAGTTTAAGGTCAGTAAACCTCTAACATGATGTAGTTATGGTATAGTGGCATGGCACTAAGGATGGTTAGCTTGTCACTTTGGTCCAGACTGAAATATTTTACTGGACAGGGCCCTGAAGTACCACCATGAGGTTCACTTCAACTACTATTTGAGTGGTTGGTGCCATCAACCTGTATTCAACCTGTGTTCTAAATTTTTTTTGACAGTCCTCTTGTAAAAAATGAATCCATATATTTGTGGCAGCAGCTTTTTACAACCAACACTAAGTTCAATAGCATAAGGAGGAAATTAGTGGTCAAAGGGTAGAATGATTATCTAGCAGGTTGAAGTGTATATTTACACATTTTTGCAAGTATTTGGTATTGAGTAAAGTCATTTCAAAATTTGATGTCTAGTATTTTGTAAAATATCACCAGTTTTTCACATACAGATTACTGAGGTATTTACTTACCACTGCTATTACACAAACTGAGCGTTATTACTTTGATGGAGGGAGGATTTATTACAGGACTGTTGTGTTAAACTAAATTAGTTTTACCTTGGGGTACCTAATAAACTGGCAGAAAAGTGTAATTCGTCTCTGCATTAAGCACTTGCCTTAAAAAATGGCAATATTGGGTAAAGCTCCCTCATCCACACTGGCTGTGTCACTAGGCAACAAGCCGTGTCCATGGAGACCCAGAGGAAAGTTAAATGTTTAACCTGTCTCCGGGCAATTACAGGTACTCTGTAATTAAACACTGCGCAGTTGTGTTATGTGTGAGTGGCTGTTTTTAGCTCCTGGGAAGAACAAAGGCAAATCCAATTAGAAAGAAAATGACGGTGCCACTGTACATCAAAATCATCCCTACATGTTGTGAAGTGCAGGGCCTTTTAGATCGGAGACCTCTTTCTTAGAAGGAAGCATCTCCTGAGAACATGCAGCTCCCCCTTTTGGGCTAAATGAGCAATTTCCAAACTCATATCTTCACAAAGTGCAGGCTCTGCTTCCAACATGAGCTGTTTTCTACAGTTATTTTAGTCAAGTTGGTAAATTTCTGGATGCAAATTAGAGTTAGAATGCTGGTTGTGCTGTAATTTTGTCTCATGGCCTCTTTTCTATTTCTGGATTGAGTTTGTGCAGGCAATGTATGATTAACTGTCAGAAAGGAATGTCACTGACCCTGCTTCATCAAAACAAAAACATTTGTGATTTGTCTCTCCTTAGACTGATAATCCACCACAGAGAGTCTACAATTAGACAAATAATTTACAATTACAAATATAACACTGTAAAATTATTCCATTAGAAGTTATACAAGAAACATCCTAGTCAAATCAAAGTGCTTATATATTATCAGCAAAATGTACTTAAAATATGCAATGTAAAGGTTTATTCTGCTTAGAAATGTGGAGGTCGTTGTAACTACTTTACAGTTTGGTAGCTTAGACCAGTAGTTTCTAACCTAGTGGGTGATCTCCTGGGTCACAAAGTCAATTTGAAGAGTTGTGAGATGAATCAATGAGGCAGGAGTAAAACAAACTTATTGAGATTTCCATTCATGTTTTGAACTTTCCTCTAATTGCTGCTTTTTTTGTGAAGTATTGGCTACTTTTACAGCTTTGAGCCAAGAACAGTTGTTCAGATGAAACCATCTGAGAACGCTAGACTACACATTGATTATTGCTTGGGGCACAAGCCAAAAATATTGAAAATCAATGGATGTAAAAATTGTACTATAGTAGAAGTACAATATTTCCCTATCAAAGGTATGTAGAAGCAAATGGAAACACACAAGTAAAATACTATCACTTGGGACCTAGTTACTTTTCATCAGTGCTAAAAGTTTATATAAAATGCGGGACTAGTCCTGGTGAAGCACAGATAATTTGATCGGTCTCCCCAAAACCAAACCTGCTCATGTTTGAGCAGAACACAAAATAGAAAGGTGCTCCCTGCACTTCAAGCAAAAGAGTTTCCCTCTTGGAGGGAAAATATATATATGAACTTATCAAATGCAGCCTGTTTGCCATCTAGTGGATGAAAGATGTTCTTTCTTCCATAAATTTTTGACAGACAATCTTTGTATTTCTTGGGCTGGACTGTATATCGACCTGAGAAGAAGGTTGTCATTCTACCTAAATGTGATTAGAGAAGGATTTATAAATCATGACAGGGGTCCTAGGTGTGGGGAAATTGATTTTTAGATAGCAATTGCTATTGGTTTCAAACAAGGTCCCTCTGGCTGTGTCAAAAAATTGCCAGAAGAGAGAAGAGCAGCAACAAATTCACAAATGTTCATATTAATGGCCTTAAATTCTAAGTAGGTGTGAACAGGATGATCAACTAAAAGATCAATAAGGCTGAGTCTTGTCTGTTCCCAAACAAAAAAAACACTGTGTTGTCAGCAGCAGCACAGCTAATGCCTTGTAAAATGCCTGTATGAGTCTGAAGAGGTGAGACTGTACAAGCTGGAAGATTTGCTCCTGTAAGATGTGACAACTGATCCAAATTTTCCTTGAAGAAAGCCTTAGTGACAACTGGGCCCACTGTCACAGAGTCATTCTTATCTAAGGACGTGGCTAAATGTGTTGGTTTAATCACACACCGTTAAAATAATGCTCTGTTCTTCCAGAAAGCTACATGTTCTTTTGTCATGCATATGGTTTGCTATAGAATTAAACAAGGAAGCTGTGGAAATAGCTGAATTCTTATTTATTGTACAAAGATACAACAAATTCTACAAAAATAAATGCTCCAACTTCTCTTTCAAGCTTTTGAGTTAGCAAAATTAAATACCTCAGTACTGAGCAACTGTTACAACCTTTGATTATCCATACACCAGAATATTTCAAGGTTGTCAAGCTGTGTGATGGAAAATTGAAATTTTTAATGAGTAGTACACAAGGAAATAACTTTCTACTTCTCCCATCAATTTCCCTCTTTTTAGTTTTGAATATACTAAACTCAGTAGCAAGAGCATAAATACTAGTTCTCAGCTGTGAAAGTAAAGATTACCCAGGATCAGAATGGCCGCTCTGTATAGCTTACGTATAATAGGATTGAATTTAGTTTAGCTGCTTTAGTTTACTATGCATTTTACATGGACCTGTCTGTCTGCAGCTCAATTTGTGCACACTACCTTTATGCCTGGTCTATTTTAATAGGTGTGCAACTTGTCTAGTGGGCATTTCTACGAGTTCCGTGTGTTTGCTGCCAATATGGCCGGCGTCGGGAAGCCCTCTGAGCCCAGTGAAGCTTTCCTGTGTGAGAAGTGGACAATGCCAGAGCCAGGTGAGGAAATACTGTCAGTCCACTTTGAAAACAAACTCATTATACAGAGTGATCCTTGTTAACACTGTAAGTATTAAATCAGAAAAGAATGTCTACACATCTGAATGTGACAGGTACAATGGACAGCGTCACAAATGAAACAAAAAAGCAGCTGAAAAAGCTCTTGCACATTATCTTGCTTGTCACTGTTTTATGTTTTTTAAATCTCCTCTGGCCCACAAAATAATCTGCTTTGAATAATAATCTGTGTCGTATATGGTTTTTCTACAAACGATTTTTGGTTAGAAAGCGACATTAATACACCCTTGTAAGAGGGAGTATTAGGGCCAAAATGAGGAAGAAAAATTAGAGGAGGAAGGCTTTTCTTTTTAAAGGATAAAGCCGGACATTTTTTTTATTAATAGTATTTTTAGCAATCTCCATACAAAGATTAAAAACACATCAGGGAAACACACCGCTGCGACATACTGTATTTCTTCATTAGCAACGTTGGTGCAATGTAATCAAAGCAGAAATCTTGTGCATGTACACTTGACTCTGACTCTTTAAGAAATTATGGCTGTACAGAGACTCTGGGCCAGCATAGTTGGGTCTGGTGTTTCATTCTGAAACACCCAGTGCAGCAAAGTCTTTCCCTGTTTTTCATCATTTTTGAGCAACAAAGAAGATCTATCATACAGATGAACAAGCTAATCCAGGACTGACAGCTGACAGACATTAACTGTGAGTAGAGTCACAGTTTATAAAATCAGTTTTAGTGTCTGTATGGAGACTGCTGAAAATACCTTTAATATAAAAAATGACCAGCCTTTAAGTTTGCTTATCTAGAATAAAGTCGAAATGTCAAGAATAAAGTTGAAATATCATTTCCAGAAAAAATGTCAAGTTGTATAAGTATGACTTTAGTCTCAGCACTTTGACGTTTTACTTGACATACAAAATTAAAAAATAAACCCTGCATCCTTTCCTTTTCTTTTCCTTAATGGCCCTAATACTTTCATAAAAGTTTAATGACTTGACACACGATTTCTTCTAACTCACTATAAAGTCCATTCTCTGTGTATGTGCACTGGAGGCTTCATGTTGAGTGGAGGATGATGTGATGATGAGAGGCCTTTGGAAATGAGTTTTTTATTTTGACACAATCCGGTTATTTCAGAGCAACAAAAGGTTTATTGACCCTGGCTTGGAAAGGGAGGTGAGATGGATGGTAATGGGTCCTCCATCAATTGGAGGACCCATTACCACTCACTACCATTTTCTTTATATTTAAAAAGATGCCATTAAAAGTGCACATGGTCATTTCACAAGTAAATAAGCAGGTCGTTATGAGATACCAGAATAAAATCTGGCTAAATGCATATTATGCTATTAAAGGGCAAAATGGTGGCTGAGATCAGCAGTAAAGCACCTCATACAGTAGCTGAAATAACAGCACGGAGTTGGAGGTAGTTAGTGGAATTTATTATATGACATCATTTAATATTAGCTTGGCTGGTAGCTCGTATCTCTGCTCTGTTCCACTATCAGCTAAAGTGACCCTACATGTGCAACTGCTCTGAATGATAGCAAACAAAAACACATTTACCTGCAGGAGCCAGAAAGGAGTCTCATGAAAAATGCATGAGTACAAATGTATTTGGTTTTGGTTTCAGAAATACATAAAATTTAACTTGTATTTTTAGACACACTTACATAGTCTAGCACTTAAGAAATAATGATAAATTTGAATATTGTGCTTTTTGTACTAATGACTGTTAATGTAGTTAGAGAACCATATTTAATTTCTTTGATAGACATTATAAATAATGGTTGTATTAAAAAATCATTATAACAAGGAACTACTGTATGTTCTTTACTGCCCCCACATTGAGAAATGTTTTACTTATGCATCCTAAAGAGAATGTTAACTGTATTTTTTTTAATTTGAAAAACACACAAAGGAGGTGGAGGTACATTTTCATTTCTGAGTAGTATGTACTGATATTGTTTTCAGCCTGCATACAGCACATAACAGTAGATCTGTCCTAATACCCACACTTGCAGTATTTGCACATATTTCTCAAAATCTTTGATAAAAGGATATATTTCTCTTGACAGTGTCAGATAACAATATTACTCTTATCAGTCTCTTTGAGGACAATAGATTGTCAATATAATTTACAGTACTGTGATAACCATGTGTGGTTCTGCCACAACTTTGTAGTGTTTGGACATGAATAATAATTCTTCATGTTTCTTGATTACCATAAGTCCTAACATCATCCTTTAGGTGCAATACTGCCAACAACTGGCCTGGTCTAGACCATGGCAACTTGTGGGATACACCTGGTACCACATGAAAATCCATTTAAGTGCAATACCACAAGTGTGGGTAATGGACAGACACAACATCCACCAATAAAAAAGGCATTTCTGTGTGTAGCCTGAGAAGCAAAACCCAGGGCAAAAAAGTATAGAATGCTATTTACAGTACCACAAATATCTGCTGTTCATTATTGCTTTGAGTGCACAGTAAAACCTGAAGGCAACTCAGGTTTTCTCTCATGCACCTGTGGTGACTACCCAGAGAAAGGACAACATTTAGAGACATCTTAGTAAGAAAGTCAACTTGAATCAATAAATATAAAATAGGAGTTTTAGAAGTGATTAGAAATCTCACCCTACCATTGTTATTACAAGCACACATTCTGTGTACCACAAGGAATACACACACATACACACATAGAGACTAACCCACAAAGTTATTCCAGTGTGTGGTGGCTCAGTAAACTGCTCAGCAGCTCTTGTCGCACTCATATCGGCTTCTTGTGACATTAATATTGAAAATGGAGAGAGTCTTTCTCACACATGACACTTTGAAAGCATAGCTCATTAATCTTGGTAAATGGGCTTCCCTTTATACAGTTAATAATTTAAAAGTGACCAAAAAATACTAGGCAAATTAGTTACAATATGCTGGCATGAAGTCACAGAGGTATTAAAGAAAGTCACTGTACTCATTCTGACTTTACTCTTATGTATTTTGTTATAACTTTCCTTGGTGACAAAAGGACTTGTTGAAGTTGGTTTTTGATATGGTCACTGAGCAAGTGCCAATATTCTTTTCATTAGATTTTAATTTTTCTTGCAGTTTATTTCAGTGTGAAACTATCACACACAGACACACACTCTGCGTCCCCCGTCCCCCCCCCACACACACATACAAAAATACTGACCCTGATAATACGTTCCTTTCTCCCAGGTTGCCCCTATGACCTGCAGGTCAGAGACGTGAGAAACAACTCCCTGGTGCTGCTGTGGGCCGCTCCATTATATGAAGGGCAAAGCCCTGTCACTGGGTATTTGCTGGAAATCAGCCAGGGTGACCAATCAGACAACTGGACTGCTTTGAATGACAAGCCCATCTCTGACACACAATACAAGGTGAGTGACACTGTAAAACCCTTAAAGCTTCAGATCAAGATAACAAAGTTAACCAGATAAAATGTGTTAATATATTTGAAGCTTTTTCATTATTTATAAACAGGTTTTTCCACAATCTGATTTAAGAATGCTAGCCATTTTTGTTGTATAAAGTCTGAATGCATTTAATAACAATAAGTAAAATTCATATTTTAAAAACCCACCTTGTCTCAGTATTTCATTTAATGTTTTTGTGGGTGTAAACATTTTAATGGGCATTATTAATTATGACAATGACCAGTAAATAGTTTGTTTTATGCTATACAGGTGTCAGATCTTCAAGCAGGTCAGACGTACCGCCTCCGTGTATCTGCTGTCAATGAGGCTGGAGTGGGCTGTGCCTCCCTGCCCTCTGAGCCAGTCACAGCCCAGATTAAACCAGGTCAGATACTTACAAATGCTCTCCAGGACTTGTTGGACACATT